AGTAAGTAAGTTTATTCAGGAACTCACCATACAACAAACTTAGGATCTTCGAATCTCATGGTTAGTGCCTAACCATTAGGCTGCTAAGTCGAAGATCAGTGGTTTAAATTTCTTACTGATTATTCTCGCTCTCATTCAGAACTATTTGAATGATATAAATAGTATAAGCAGATATACTAATTACAATGGTATTGTACATTCACACTACCACTACTATTTTATCATCACTAATAACTATTATTTCATTTTCTATTGTAAAACAACCAAACACCTATGATGATGAACTCATTAGAATAGATTTCACTCAATTCATTTTTGTTTGGTATCAAATTTATAATCAATGAAATGTAATCGTTGTGTATTTAAAGCAAAATGATCAACATCACGCTATTATTATCTCACGATTTAAGTGAATTAAAATCATCTTAACTATAAACATCTAATTAGTGTTAAATATTCTGGTTAAAATAATTATGTTCATTGATTAATCGTTTAGTTTAAACATAGAAACATTGATACAGGGAGGCATCAAATACATATGCATCATACTTGTGTGAAAGCTGAGAGAATATTGCCTTGGAACCCTGAACCCTTCACCTATAGGTCTGATCCACAAGGCAGTGAGGCAACGTTAAGCGATTCAGTCACATGGTAGCCGGTGACGAACAAAAGGTTCATACACTATTTGTTTCCTAAAGGATCCTGGAGCCCATATGGAGCATTGGTTTAGAATGAGGGTTTTCCAACTTCCCTAGGTGGATCCTAGATATCAACCAACCCGGTTAAAGCGCCAGACATTCGCTTTTCGTCCTCTCACCTTCGTAAATAACATCTCCGCCACGAGTAGGCATTGAGTAGGAATTCCCTGGAAGTGGCTGTATATGCGTGGCCATGTGAAAGCTTATACTGTCATTGTCAGTGAAGTCCTACTCATTGCATTCTCGCGGCGGGGTTGTTGTTTACGAAATTGAGAGGACGAAATGCGAATGTCCGGTGCTTTAACCTGGTTGGTGGGCATGGAGGGTCCACCTGGAGGAGTTAGAAAATATCGATTCCAAACCATCGGTACACATGGGCTCCAGGATGCTAAGGGAAAAAATGGTATATGAACCAATTATTGGTCATTGGCTACTATGGGACCTCATTTCCTTACATTACTCCACTGCATTTGGGGATCAGACCTTTAGGTCGAAGGCTCCGGGTTTGTTCCCCTAAGAAAACCCTCTACTTCGGTTTGGGCACACGGGAAGCTCACTCACAAATCAAATGAGATTTCATGATAACTGTAAACATTGATTTCTTTTAGAATAATCTTTATAATATTCCATATACAATAAACATTGCGTAATTATGTGCTTACATGAATGAATACATCGTTACTAACTAAACAATATATTATTAGTATATTCATAAATCATCTAGTTCCGTGATTATATAAATATGGATATATAGGCGTTAGTCTGTGTGTGTGTATGCATATATGTATGCGTGTTTGTTTGAGAAGAATCGTTACTATCCTTATCAATATAGTTGAGTCGATCGATTTTCGATTATATTAATGATTGATGTATTAATAATGATAATAATAATAATAGTGAAGCTCCCTAATATCATTTTGTATAGATCTTTATATCTCTGTCTAACCTACCTATTGAATGAATATCCATCAATTTTATTTTAACCAGTTATTCTTTCAGTGAAATCATCATTATATTTCTTATATTCCCATAGTTAATATTATATAGTTGTAAAGTCTTTAAACATTTGTATATATGAACAATGAATAAATTACTTTCTAAATAGAACTTCTTATCGACAACTGTTTATTCTTTCATATTGACATTCATAGTTTATGTTTTATGGGTATGAAACGTGATAAATAAAGATAAAAATAGCTTACTAATATTTGGTCATAGATGTGTTCTAGGTATTTCTTACATATCGTGAAATCATCATGACCTCAAATGCTCTGATACGGTCGAGAGTGGGCATAGTTGGAAGAAGGTTAGGGGCGGCCAAACCAAAACGTGGCATCAGTGCTTGAAGTCACTAACTTCTAGTCTGAGCCATGTTGGTAGATGCAGACTACTTGGTTGGGGTCCGTGTGACTATCGTAACCAATGGTTGGAGACTCTTGGTGACATGGCTCAGAATCGGTCACAATGACGTCGGTGTATACACTCTCTGTCTTCCCTTAAACTAAGAGATTAAAATCGCTTCATATCTTTCTTTCTACGAACTAATTCTTTCTTCCTGTACTATATCCTTATATGCAATCTTTTTTTATATATATTACCACCTCTGAATTAACTACTTTTATGAATCCGGTGTCCATCTTGTTGTGTTAATGAGGTATGGCAACTTGGACCGATGCATATATGTGCCTGGTCCTACGTTGTGGCTGACTGACTGACTGGGGAGAGTTCGCTCTCTCCGCTCTTACATAGCCATGTGTATATAACCACTGTCAGGGAAATTCTACTCACTGCCTTCTCGCGTCGGGGATGTTGTTCACGAAATTGAAATGACGAAAAATGAATGTGTTAGTGCTTTAACTGGGTTAGTGGATATGGAGGACCCACCTAGGGGAGTTGAAAAAACCCTGATTTCAAACCAATGTTGTATATTGGCTCCAGAATCTTGAGGGAACATAAGGTGTATGAACCTATTGTTGATGATCAGCTACCGTGTGACTACTGCATCTCTTAACGTTGCGGATTTGACCTCTAGGTCGAAAAGAAAACCAAATGCTTCAGCTTGGGCGTCCGGGAAGTATTCCAGCCCTCACACAAATCGAATGATGAAGTATGATGCTTATGTATTTAGTGCCTCCCTGTATCAATTTTCATATGTTTAAATAAATGCTGAACTTAGATGCAGGGTAATAGGAAAATATGGCAAATCGATTGATAAGGCTGTGTATCTCTATCGACTGAGTTTATTGGGATATATATCATGTAAGCCCGATAACCGCCTACATCGAAGCTTAGCGTTATTTCGGGAAACAGTAGTTTGGAAGATAACTAAGGACGAAAAATCCAAAACATGGGATCAGTTCATGAAATCACTGACTGTTGGCCTAAGCCAGTTGGTGAATGCAGTCTATTTAGTCGGAATCCATACGGTAACCATAGATGTTAATAACACAGGCATTCACTCTTTGTCTTCCCCTTCAAATCTTGAGCTTTAAAGTTATTTTATACTTTTTTATTTTACGGATTCATTCCTACTTCTCGAATCATATTCTCTAGCCCTTATGTTTCCTACTACCACTGATACTTTTACTGCCAATCCTACTACATTGATAACATTAAAATAATCTTTATAAAATCTCTTTATCTTAACATATATTTTTAGCTCATTAACTGGTATGTAAACCAATTTCTCCCTGGTTTATCGACTACTTACGAGTACAAGAATCGTTCTATTAATTATTATTACAATTTCTTAAATCAATTCGACAAGATAATGAAAATAAGTGAAAAGTAATAAACACTGAAACGATTATATTGCACATAAATGAGAATCAAACTTCACCAATCCGACTAGTTACGATTATTGTTTCAACTGTATCTTGAGTGCTGTTAGAGGTATAACGGCTGTTATCACTTCCCGGTTGCCCACACCGTGGAAGGGTTATTGTGGAGGTACGTGAAAAAGAAATTGAGTTAGGAGTGGTCTTAATGACCTGATAGCATGACCGCAGTGTCCAAGAGACAACTGCTTGAGGCCGATCACACACGACCATTTTGTGGGTAATTTTCGTGTTAGCTCCGTACTTATCAGAACCTTACCGCCGGAGATGGAAATCCATGGGATAAGGTGAGATTTGCATTTTTAGGGTTGACCTTTTCTAACCCGACTCCTCCTTGTGAGAAGGCAGCATCGCTATTATGTTGGTTGTCTGAAGGAAACACCTTACTGCTGTTACACCTCTGTACAGTGAGCAGTACGGCTTCGCCTTCGGACGTGGGGTTTGGTCAACTGTATATTTCATCAAAATAAATTCCTGTTGAATAATAGCCGGATAGATCAAACTATGTAGACTTAGTCGGTTAAGTCGAAGGTGAATTGGAACACTTTGAACACCTTGAATTAATCAACCAGACGTAATTTTTGTGTTAAACGGTTCATTTATCGGAATAGGTATTATTCTCCAGCGTTAGAGAAATTATCATTTTGAATGTATGGTATATAAACCTGGTGTTGATTAATTCGGGCCCACCATATTGTATCAGGATATCAGATTAATTCTATTACTCAGATGCTAAGCATAGTATACTATGCACAAATAGAAAACCGTTTAATCAGGTTACTAACCTTCATCGGCTAAGGTGGTAGAGAAATGTGATATGCATATTTAACCACTATCTTTACAGATACGAAATTCTGACTAGCATAGAGGGTGGGAGAATAAGTTGAACAGATTGAGACATGTTATTGTTTTATGCAGTTAGTGCTTATTGACATATAATGTGTTGGTAGGTCCAAACTTCCTTCTTGAGATATTTAATATGACCTTATCTATGACGAAAGATATAAGGTGACTGTGGACAAAGTCGATGTTACTTGCACAAATCCATCCATTATTATTCATCTTCCAAACCTTTAGCTCGGTATTATCCTGTACGTTTTACTCACTGACTTTATTTTTTGAAACCATATGTTTTGTTTTTAGTATTATTTGTGTAATTACTTTGAATTCTTTACTTGTCATCTTTTTAATTTCATCTCTGTCGCTGTGCTGATATAAAGCGGGGCGTTTTGTAGTGATTTGTATTTGTGCTACATTGTTTATAAATGACTTACCTACTGACGCTTCCAAATATATGTGTTTAGTAAATGGTCAAGATTTCGATTCTTTTTTGTCGCTCCAGCGGGTACGTATTCTGTCACACACACACACACATTACACCACTGACTCAGTGGGAGAGTACTTTTCGAAATTGCATTTGATTCTTTAGTTTTATCTAATCACTTTAGCTTTTTTTTGCTTTCAGACATCAAATATTCGTCATCAGTTATGCACGTCTTTTAGCTGCTCAATTGTCGATCCAAGTACCACAATCCTGTTTCTCCTCTTCAACTTCTTTATCGGATTCCTTCACTCGCTTAAATTATGGATCGACTGAACTAGTTAATTATCTTCATGAAGTATTTATAAACTATATTCCACCAATGTTTACTCCGTCTAATAAACACATTGTAATTGATGAGAATGAAATGAAGCCTCAGCAAACGACCACATCTACTTCACCATCAAAATTGTCATTGCCTAAAGATAGTGATCCTACTATTACATCAATGAAAAGAATTATTTTCAATAATCCTTCTCTCAATAATGATGATAAGGATTTGACAATAAAAGAAATTTGTCTAAATGAATCATTTTTAAAAATGTGTACAAATATTTTGGAGAGTTTAAGTAAACCAGAGAAATTTAAAGGTATGTCCTAATTTGTTCTATCTGTTTTAAAACAATTTCTTTAAATTCAATCAGCTACAACGTAGGATCAGGCACATAGATACATCGGTCCAAGTTGCCATACCTCATTAGATCTAAATTCACAGAAGTAGCTAATTCAGTGGTGGTAATATATAAAATGTATTTTCCATTATAGACAGCAGTGGGATCGACAATGGTACTTTTCAGCTTATTTACGACTCTTCATTTGAGTGTAGTTGTATAGGGATTGAAGTAGTTGAGCGTGTCGACCGCTTCACTCATCTTGGAAGTCTCATCAGCCCTTGTGTTCTGGTGTGTAACGAAATCTCAGAACGGATACAGAAGGCTCGACTAGCTTTCGCCAACTTGCGTCATTTATGGAGTAGACGAGATATCCGTCTACCAACCAAAGGACGGGTCTACTGTGCAGCAGTTTGTTCCATCCTACTTTATGGAAGTGAAACATGGTCGTACGAGTAGAGGATATTCGTAGGTTACTAGTATTTGATCATAGGTGTCTTCGAAACATTGCTCGTATATCCTGGGACCATCGAGTAAGTAATGCAGTTGTTAGGAAACGGGTACTAGGTAAGGATGGCAAATCAATTGATGAAGTAATGAAACTTCATCCGTTGAGATGGCTGGTACATGTGTTATGTATGCCCAACAACCAACTGCCCCGACGAGCGATGTTTTGTTGTATAGGAGTAGATTGGAAGAAAGCTAGGGGCGGCCAGACCAAAACATGGCACAAATCCATGAAGTCACTGACAAGTGGACAGAGTTCGTCATGTTGGTAGGTATAGACTATCTGGTTGGGGACCGCGAGGTGATAGCAACCGATGGTTAGAGAGCCTTAATGACATGGCTCAAAATCGTTTGGAATGGCGCAGGTGCATCCACTCTTTGTGTTCTCCCAAATTCTACTCTTCTGAATTCTTCATGTCCCTTTATTTGTTCTCCGTCGAAATTTATTTCATTGGATTATGTTCTTTGAATAACATCTTCAAACCCTAATGTTTCCGATGACTGCTTATACTCTTAACGCCTCTACCACTACGGGATTTGAATCGACCACTGCATTTCTGTGCTAATGTGGTGTGGCAACTCGAAGTGATGTACGTACGTACGAAGTTCCACGGCGTTACTGACTGATATTTGAATGTACTTGTATCCCAATATCCAGAAATCTCAGTGTGAATATTAATGTTGATCCACGTAAATCCAGCTGATATCTCCTGAATAGGAAGAAACTCCCGTCTAAGATTCTATCGTTGGCTAATATTCAAAATATAATTTGTTTATAGCTATAGGCCGTATTGAGTCTTACATTGAATAAATAAGTACTTACCTACGCCTGTTACTCCCAATGGAGCATAGGCCATCGACCAGCATTCTCCAACTCACTCTGTCCTCGGCTTGTATCTCTTCATTTCCGTAGCAATTTGGAAGACTCTCCCGATCTCCCACATTGTACGAGCATACCATGTACCTACATTAATTATTGCTCTGGTTGTCAGAACGGGCATCAGCCTAGTGACTGAGCTACAAATCTTCTCCACCATCTAGTGACTTCCGAAAGAATTCGGCCTTCACCATGAGGCGTCATAACTCTTATAAATGAAGACGTTCTAACTGCGAGGACAGAGTATAAATGGTTTGAATCATTTTTTCTGCTTAGCGTTTTTTTGGTGAGCTATTTTTCTACGGGATGGGGTCGCTAACTCCATGCCCAACCCTCGTTTTTTGTCCTGGCTTGGGATCGACAATATCCCCAGAGGGGCTCCAGGCGGAGTTGAATGAATAAGTACATATGCCAAAAAATAGCCAAATTTAATCTTGAATATCAACAATCGATAAATTTAAACGCTTGTTATTGACGATGAATTACTTTAAACTGTTTTTGTGTTCATGAGTGTGAAGCGGTGTCCCACTAGTTATAAGCTATTTGATTTTCAACACTATGAGTTTGCAATTTACAACTCCGGCCCGACCTAATTCAGTTTAAGTATTCAGGTAGTATCACTAATTCGTCTATAATGATTAAATTCTCTGAATCTCCAGTTTTAAAGTGCAATCATTTGGTTAAGCTATTCGATATTGTATAATGATTGATCTATAATGTTCAGAATCTAATCAACATGAATTCCCTTTATGCTTAAGGTATGTATTCCATAGCGTGTGTATGCACTCTTTCTATATAAGTTGCGTCCTAATCATTAAAGTCACCTGGTGTTGTTTTACTTGTATCTTCCCATTGTTATTTAGGACTGCAATTTATCAGTTTCATGTTGGCAATATGTGTATCCTGTACGGATTGCCTCGATGCAGGTAAATCCAGCTGATAGTCCCAAAATGCCCTAGTACGGCCGAGAGTGGGGAGAGTTCACTCTCCCTCTCCAAACGCTCTCACATGACCACGCGTATATAGCCTCTGCCAGGGAAATCCTACTCATTGCCTTCTCGTGGCAGCGGTATTGTTTACGAAATTGAGAGGACGAAAAGCGAATGTCCGATGCTTTAACCGGGTTAATGGATATGGAGAGTCCACCTAGGGGAGTTGGAAAACCCTCATTCCAAACCAATGCTCCACATGGGCTCCAGTAACCTGAAAGAACAAATGGCGTATGAACCAATCGTTAGTCACCGGCTAATATGAGACTGCATCTCCTTACGTTGATCCACTGCCTTGTGGATCAGACATTCAGATCGAAGGCTCTGGGTGTGACCCCTAAGAAAACCACTTGGTTCGGTTTGAGCACCCGGGCAGTATCACAGCCCTCACACATATCAAATGAGACTTGTGTGGCGCATATGTATTTGGTGCCTCCTTGTACCAATATCTGTGTTAAAATAAATAAATAAATAAAATATCTAGCTGATGAGTCCCAAATAGGATGAAACGCGCGTCCTGGATTCCACTGCTAATCACTGTCCATCATTAATCATTAAGACATAACTATACAGATGTTACTTACTTACTTACTTACGCCTGTTACTCCTCGTGAAGGAGCATAGGCCGCTCACCAGCATTCTCCATCCAACCCTGTCCTGGGCAATCCTTTCTAGCTCCGTCCAGTTGTAATTCATCGTTTTCATATCTGCTTCTATTATCCGACGTAATGTGTTCTTTGGTTTTCCTCTTCTCCGCTTCCCTTCAGGATTCCAAGTTAGGGCTTGTCTCGTGATGCAGTTTGATGATTTGCGTAATGTATGTCCTATCCATTTCCATCGTCTTTTCCTAATTTCTTCTTCAGCTGGAAGTTGGTTTGTTCTCTCCCACAAAAGACTGTTACTGATGGTATCGGGCCAATGGATGTTGAGTATCTTGCGAAGACAGCTATTTATAAATACTTGTACTTTCTTGATTGTGGTTGTTGTAGTTCTCCAAGTTTCAGCTCCGTACAGTAGAACTGCCTTGACGTTCGTATTGAAGATTCTCACTTTGATATTGGTTGAAAGTTGTTTTGAGTTCCATATGTTCTTCAATTGTAGGAAAGCGGCCCTTGCTTTGCCGATCCTCGCCTTTACGTCTGCATCGGATCCTCCTTGTTCGTCGATGATGCTTCCCAAGTATGTGAAGGACTCTACATCTTCCAGAGTTTCGCCATCAAGTGTGATTGGATTGCTGTTCTCCGCTTTGAATTTGAGGACCTTGGTTTTCCCTTTGTGTATGCTGAGGCCTACTGATGCAGAGACTGCTGCTACACTGGCTGTCTTTATCTGCATCTGTTCGTGTGTACGTGATAGGAGGGCTAGGTCATCTGTGAAGTCCAAATCGTCTAATTGATTCTGAGCTGTCCATTGTATTCCGTGTTTTCCTTCAGATGTTGAGGTCTTCATAATCCAGTCGACTACCAGAAGAAAGAGGAAGGGAGAGAGTAAACAGCCTTGTCTGACTCCGGTCGTTACTTGGAACGCATCTGTCAGCTGTCCTCCATGCACTACTTTGCACTGTAGTCCGTCGTATGAGTTCCGGATAATATTGACAATCTTCTCAGGAATTCCGTAGTGTCGAAGAAGTTTCCATAACGTCCTCCTGTCTACACTGTCGAATGCCTTTTCATAATCAATGAAGTTGATGTATAGTGACGAGTTCCACTCAACTGATTGTTCGATGATGATCCGTACTGTTGCAATTTGGTCTGTGCACGACCGATCCTTACGGAATCCAGCTTGTTGATCTCGAAGTTGGGCGTCTACTACATCCTTCATCCGGTTCAGCAAAACTGTGTTAAAGACTTTCCCTGGTATTGACAGTAGTGTTATGCCTCTGTAGTTTTCACATTTGCTCAGATCTCCTTTCTTTGGAATCTTGACGAGGTGTCCTTCTTTCCAGTCCATCGGCACTTGTTCCTCCTCCCAAATCTTTTTGAATAGAAGATAAAGCATGCTTGTGGTTGCTTCGATGTCTGATTTCAGTGCTTCAGCTGGTATGTTGTCGGGTCCCGCTGCTTTCCCGTTCTTGATTTGTCTGACGACCATTCTAATTTCTTCCGTAGTTGGTGGGTTGACATCTATAGGAAGATCTATGTGTGCTGCTTCGATGTTCGGTGGATTCATTGGAGCCGGCCTATTCAGGAGCTCTTCGAAGTATTCTACCCATCTGTTACGCTGTTGTTGAATTTCGGTGATTGGCTTGCCTTCTTTGTCTTTGACCGGCCTCTCTGGTTTACTGTATTTCCCTGATAGTTTCTTCGTTGTATCGTAAAGCTGTTTCATATTTCCTTCTCTAGCAGCTTTTTCTGCCGTCGTTGCTAGTTCTTCCACGTATTTCTTCTTGTCGGCTCTAATGCTCCTCTTCACTTGTTTGTTTGCTTCTATGTATTCAGCTTGTGCTTGGACTTTCTCTGCTCGTGTTCGGCTGTTGTTTATTGCTGCCTTCTTGTTCTTCCTTTCTTTGATCTTGTCCAATGTTTCTGTAGAGATCCATTCCTTATGACGGTATTTCTTTAGACCGAGAATCTCTTGACACGTTGAAGTTAATGCTTCCTTGATGC